AGTAAGGTCACCGCTGTCAAAAAAGCTTTTTCCACATTCCAGGCATTTATAAGGTCTCTCCCCTGTGTGGATCCTTTTATGAGCATTAAGATATGCTGTTTGAGCAAAGCTTTTTCCACACTCTGTGCATTTATATGGTCTCTCTCCAGTGTGGGTTCTTTTATGATGAATTAGACCCCTGCTCCAATTAAAGCTTTTCCCACACTCCAAGCATTTAAATAGTCTCTCCCCTATGTGGATCCTTTTATGGGCATTAAGTTGTGCTCTCTGAGCAAAGCTTTTTTCACATTCTGTGCATTTATATGGTTTCTCCCCTGTATGGATTCTTTCATGATATATGAGATGACCTTTCTGTGTAAACTGCTTTGCACAGTCCATGCAGTTGTATGGTCTCTCCCCGGTGTGGATCCTTTCATGAACAATAAGATGTCTTTTCTGAGTAAAGTGCTTTCCACACTCTATGCATTTATATGGTCTCTCCCCATTGTGGATCCGCTTATGACGAATAAATTCTGAGTTCCAACGAAAGCTTTTTCCACACTCCATGCATTTATACAATTTTCCCCCTGTGTGTATCCTTTGATGGAAAGTAAGCTGACAATTGGCAATAAACCTGTTTTCATACTCCATGCATTTATATGGTCTCTCTCCTGCATGGATCTTTTTATGACAAATAACCCCTGTTTTCTGACAAAAGCTTTTTCCATATTCTGGACATTTATATGACCTCTCATTTGTGTGGATCCTCCAATGGCAATGATTACTTTTGGTACTGAAGCTCTTTCCACACTGAATGCATAGTTTCATCTTTTTGCTTAGACTGAAATCCCTCTCATATTTTGCAAAAGTATGTAGTTTGTATTTTCTATTCAGTATTTTAGATAAAGTAAAAGGGAAGGAATGATTCTTTGCAGACACTTTTCTTTGCAATGTCAGTAACCTCAGCTGTTTTTCTTTCTCATTCACCAGGCCATCACCTGTTTGGAAAAGAAATTCTCATTAGATTTACAATGATGGCAAAGGGGGGTAGGGGTTGTCTCCCTGAGTAAAAAAATATGCCCATCCGATCATCTGGTTTGGCACGAGATATTTGTCAAGCTAGGTGATGTTGGGTGCAAATTGTTATCCAGGTGATTGTAATAGTATCCAAGAAATTTTACAGCACTGAATCAGAAGATTTTGTTGTTGATATGTCAATCTAACAAGGGATTTCCATGGAGCATTGAGGGACTTTCCCAAAGCCATGATGAGCATTTCTGCCAAGGCCTTGTGTTCTATAGTGGCTATGGCGGGGTCTTCAAACTTGACAGCTTTAAGACTTATGGACTTCAATTCCCAGAATTCCTTCTCCAGTCATGTTAGCTCAGGAATTCTGGGAATTGAAGTCCACAAGTCTTAAACTTGCCAAGTTTGAAGAACCTTGAGCTAGACAAAATTGCCCATGAAGTGCCACTGTTGGTTTGTTTTCTGTGGGGGCCCTGGTGATTGAAGGGAATCAAAGAAATGTGTATGAGGCTCTTTGTGGCCATGGCTCCTCCACTGGATATTAGCTACATAGTAAACATTGTGACCGCGATTTTCCTGACATTAGGAAAGGTTAGAAAGATGGTGCCAGGTGGGGGTCAGGTAGAGTTTGACCACCTTAAGTAATTGAATGTAGGTATCTTCTTTGTTTATCTCCCACTTAAAACACCTTTCCCAATGAATGGAACTCAAGAGAAAAGATGATCCTTACACAGAGCAGCCATATTCCTGAAAAGCTCCAGCATGACTTCCTTGCACAAGGCCTTCTGGCCAGAATCCAGCATTGCCCACTCTTCTTCTGTAAAGTCCACAGCCACATCCTCAAAGGGATCAGAGTCCTAGAAAGAGAAAGAAAATCTTCTCCAGCAGACAATCCTTTCTTTTGTTTTTTTTTCCTTACTCCCAAAAGAGAAAACAGAGACCCAGTCGGATATTTCCAATAGGACAAGCATAGGTTCTGCACGTTCACATAGGGCTGGGAAGCCTGTTGTGAAGGCAGAAAACATGCCTTAGATGCATCCAAGTTGTAGTATGGCAACACGAATGGAACAGACACACATATACACAAACACACACGCCCACTGACCTGGAATAACTCAACAAGGAGGTTTTGGGGAGAGGAATTCCCTGGCCTCATCTCCCTGGCTCAGCAAAATAACATTTCTTAAAAAACAGGACAAACTTAACTAGGAATTTCTTACGTGGGCTATTTCAAAATGTTGGAAATGATCCTGGAAATGTCAGATCATTTGACCAACAGTCTTATTGTTACAACCAGTTAGCTTTGACTTAGAGGTACACATACCTGTCCTTCATATGAGCTTTTTTAAGTGGATAGGTTGGTCTATTTCTGGAACAATTTTTTTTTACAATTGCTATTGCTTCGCTTAATGGCCTTTATTTTTAAAAACTTATTGTCCAATCTTTTGAAAAATATTCCAACATATCAATTACATTTCTTAATACAAAATTCTTCTGAACTGTCCTTCCTGTGCATCCACAGAACAGTTCTGAAGGTTGAATCAGTGAGACTGAATCATTCTATGGGGAGACCAGGCACACAGATTCAGCATTTGGTTTTCAAAGTAGCTCCTGAACAAAAATTTAAACTTCTCACAAGAAACCTACACTTACCTGACAAGTTGGCTCTACTTGGATCCTTGAGAAAACAACCTCTTTAGAAGGACTGGATGGATCCCCTCTTCCCTGAAGCTCTGCTAAGATATCACCCACAAACGGCTCCTGTAACTGAAGGAACCACCTGGTTTATCATCCGCTTTCAGATGACCATAAATTTTCATGGACTACATTTCCCAGGATACCTTTAACTACATTTACCATGATGCATTCCCTTAAGGCAGGGGTCCCCAACCACCGGGCCGCGGAGCACTCTGAACCGGGCCGCAAAGAAAAAAAAATTAAAAAAAATGGCGGCTTTCTTCGCCTTCGGTGAATGCTGCTGGGATCAGGGATCAAGGACACAAATGAAAGAAGGGGAGGGAGGAAGCAACCAAAGCCTGTCCTGCTCTCTGGCTCAGTGGCTTCGGTTTCCTCCCGCCTCGTTCCTCTCTCACTCCTCCACCAGCCCAGGAAGAAACTGCTTCAAAGAAGCCAGGGGGGTGTGAGTGGCTTTTCCTGTCGCCGCAGCTCCTCCGAAGTGCCCGTTCACCCCCACCCCGCCCGCCCGCGCGCGGTTCAATCCAGTGCTCCGTTCTGCCTGCCTGCCTTCGTTTCTGGTTGTTTCGGAGAAGCTTCGGCTGATAAAAAGAGGCGAATAGTTATTATTCTCAGCCGAAGCTGCTCCCAAACAACCAGAAATGAAGGCAGGCAGGCAGAACGGAGCACTGGATTGAACCGCGGGCGGGCGGGCGGGGTGGGGGTGAACGGGCGCTTCGGAAGAGGTGCGGCGACAGGAAAAGCCACCCCCACCCCCCCGGCTTCTTTGAAGCAGTTTCTTCCTGGGCTGGATGTTAGAGGTCCATCGTAGCTCTGAATGATCCCTAAACAAGGACTACAGGAGCTTCCTAGGGAAAACACACTGACTAAATGCTCCTCATTCAATTCCTGTTTTCACCAAACAGAGATAAGAGAAACATCTGCATGAAATTTTGTAGCTACACAGCTGGGCAAGACCTAGAACTAGAGAGACTGCAGTCAGGTGTCTTTAATGCTAGTTGTAGGGTAAACATAAAGTTTTGGGAATGGAAAATAGAATCTCCCCCCCCCCCTCCTTGAAAAAGTGTTTCTGCTTGAAACTGGTCCCTGGTACAAAAAAGGTTGGGGACCACTGCCTTAAGGGGACAGCTCATAATTCCGAAGCAACTATCCAATTCCCATAGACTGGCTGGGACAGCACAATAAAGGTGTTTAATTTTCTTGCCTTACATTTACCCTGTCTACTTATTATTTTTGCAACCACTCAAAGTGAGAGAACTTGGGAACTCCTGTTCTGTGGGTGGCTGTTATTTCTTGATAAATGCCAGCCACTTTTGTGAAACACTTCATTGCTTCTTTTTTTTAAAAAAAATTCCCATCAGGAACTGCATCTTCATTTCCTCCTCTTCACTTGACAAATGTGTCTTTTTCCGTTTGTGGATGTACTCATGCCTGTTCTTGTTTCACTAGTATTTTCCTTTAGATTTGGGGACCTTTATTGAGGGATAGGAACATTCTCCCCTTCCTTTTTACAGAGGCTTCTTCTCTGTGCCTCTTGCAGGACCACACCAGCCTGGCAATTCAGGGAAAGACTTTGGAATGAACATAGGGATGCTTTTGGGAGTAAAATGTACTCCTTGAAAACACGATTGTCATTAAAAGGCAATTTCAATAGTTCATTCTTTCCCACCCTAAATTACCAATCAGGTTTAATTTATAGTTACAAATCTATTAAGAAGTTTGAATATACAGAAAGGAAGAGCTACTAAAGCAGATAATTTTTATTGGAACGTGTGGGAAGCAAATCCCATCCACTCCTCACACATTCTGCCTTCTGCAATTCAAAAACACAAATCAGAATAGGCTCTAGTCTAGACAAAGATCAAAGAGCAATGAGAAACAATGAATGGAAAAGTGTGCAACATTCCTCCTAACTGGACCATAACCTGGGATCTCTTTTATCCTGAGATCTGTTTGGTGCAATAAGTAAATGGGTCTTTCTTCCAAGATTATCATTTTCAGTGAAAAATTGGTAAACCACATCTCTGTAGGGTGCCTCAACTGCAGCCATTTCTGTTATGATGCCTAAACAGATGGTTGCCCTAGTCTCTTAATGTCCTTGATTCCCTACAAAGTCTGCTACATATGTCAGCATCCCACTGAATTTTTACCATTGTGAAACAGAAGCATTTGTCTCAAGATGCAATATATTCCAAAATATTGGAAATTACTGAAAATGTTCTGATGACGTCTTCTTCGTGGCTGCGATTTCTTACAAAGGCTGAGAAATACATCAGCGTCCCACGGTGTATTTGTCTCACCTGCTGCCCCTTTCCAGGCTCCGGGAAGCCTGAGGGGCCGAGGAGGCAGCCTTCGGCCAGGGCCACCGCCTGGGCGCAGCTCTCCGCCCCGCACTCCCTCAGCCAGCCCGACAGCTCCGGGGGCAGCAGGGCCAGCAGCTGCTCCAGCACCACTAGGTCCAGCATCTCGGCTTTGCTGCTCCGCTCGGGCCGCAGCCACCCCCGGCACAGCCGGTGCAGGCGACTGCAAAGCGCCCGGGGCCCCTCGGCCTCCCGGGAGGCGCAGCTGCGGAAACGCCAGCGCTCAGCCTCGGAGCTGCGGGGACCCTCGGGGAGGCCGCTCCCCGCCTGAAGGGGAGACCCCCAAGCCTGCATTCTGTCTCCGGCTTCAGCTCAGCCCAAACGGGGGAAAACTCCCTCCGAGGCCGCCTTCGGTCACAGCGGACCCTCCTCCGCCGATCCTTCCCGCCCCTTTCCCGGTTTCAGGGGAGGGAGAAGGGGGCGGGGCTCCGCCCCCTCAGGGCTTCTGAGGCAGAGAAACTGCAAGTCACTCCCGCCAAAACTTCCCGCGCTCGCCAGGCCCCCCCACAGACTCGGTGAGATATGATTACTTCCTAGAGAGGCACAAGACTATGATCCCTCATGCTCTTGATTAAAGCGTCTCATAAGGCAACTACCGCCTCTCCTATCCTCTGCGTGCGACAGTCGGACCTGGCAAAGGTCTTCTGCGCATGCCCTGTTCTCTGTAGACGCTCAAAGGTCGACCGAAGTCACATGATGGCGGAGTATTTGGTAGGAGTGGGAGGGGATGTGTGGACGTAGGACCGGAGGTGGTAGAGCTGGGGTGGGTTAGAGTAAAGCGCCTTTGAATGGAATCTAACAAATTAACAATTGGAAGGCACCTTGAAGATCATCTAATCGCCCAAGCAGGTTTTTTTCTTTAAACTGGCTTTCAAAATACTTTAAAAAATATTCAACTCTTTCAACCTTTCATTCGCATCCCCAGAACAATCATGAAAACTGAATGAGTGAAACTGGGTAATTCTATGGAGACCCGGTGTTCACCCTCAGAGTTTTCTTGTCATAAATGGAAGGCGTTTAAACGTTTCACAAGAAACCTTCATTTAACTGGAAAAGTGACCCCAATTCGATCATCCTAAAAGGAAGCTCTTCAGAAGCATTGGATGGATCTCCTCTTCTTCCCTGGAGCTCTGTTGAAATCTCCCCCATGAATGACTACCACAAATGACAGCCTATTTTAAGATCCACTTTCAAATGACTATATAACCATGTTAGTTCGCTTATCTTATTTTTTTCCTCTCCACTTGTACTTCCCAACCCAAGTCAAAGTGAGAGAACTTGAGAACTCCTACTCTGTGGGTGGCTGCTGGATTTCTGGATAAATGCCTGTCACTTTTGTGAAATATTTCTTTTGATTTCTTTTTCCTTCTTATCAGGAGCTGCAGTTTAGATCCTCCACTTCACTTGACAGGTGTGGCCTTTCCTTCTTTGTGGATGTACTTCTGCCCATTCTATCTTTTCTTCTAGATTCGGGGACTTATCTCTTGGGAATATTTTCCTTTAGATTCAGGGACTTTTTATCTCTTGGGAAGGAGAGAATCAATCTCCTCAGTTTTGGCATGGCTTTTCTGTGCTCCTTGCAGTGGGGAGACTTTGGGATAAAGACGGAGATGCTTTCGGGGGTAAAACACACCCCTTGAAACCATTGCAACCATCATTAAAAGGCAATTTGAATACTTCATTCTTGCTCACCTCAAATTCCAAGTCAAGTTTAACTATTAGTTATAAGTATTTTAATGTTATCTGCAATATATAGAAAGGATCAGCTGAACTAGAGATTTTTTATTGAAACGTGTGGGAAGGAAATTATGTTTACCCTTCACACATTCTGCCTTCAGCAGTTCAAAACCACAGATCAGAGTAGCCTCTAGACCAGGGGTCGCCAACCTTAAACACTCAAAGAGCCACAAAAGTCCTAACCGGAAGCCCCCCTTCAATTCTGAAGTCCAGTTCCCCCATCCGAGTCTCCTCTTAGCATGGCATCCTTTTTCCTCTACCGGTCCTAACCTGAAGCCCTATCAATTGTGGAGCCGACCAGCGATAGGGAGCTGCAGCAAAGGGATGAAAGAGCCACATGCAGCTCCAGAGCCACGGATTGCTGACCCCTGCTCTAGATAAAGGTCACAGTGCAGTAGAAACAATAAATGTAATAGTGTGCAACATTCCTACTAATTTGATCATAACCTAAGATGTCTTTTATCCGGAAATCTCATTGCTAAAGTAAAAAACATTGGCCTTTCACCCATGATAACCACCTTCAGTGGACAAATGCTAAACATCTCAGGAAGGTGACTGAACTGCAGCCGTTTTGACCATGGTGGCTAACCAGTTTACGCTTATAAGAGTTATCTTATTAGAGTTATCTTATAAGAGTTATCAATTTCAGTACAGCTAATTAATAGTTATGTGAAACTAAGCAATATAGATAACTATATTCAAGCTATAATTTGGTAAAGTATTTTACTGAATACCATTTCTTTCCAAAGTGATTGTGATTACTGGAGCCAAAAACCTTGAAGAGGATGAAAAAGGATCCTCCAGCTTTTCACTCCCTAAGAGGTTTTCAAATAACAACTAAATTGAATTGCTTGTCTTCACATAAAGGCACTGGCTGCAGATGCAGAGAGAGGCACGGGTCGGGAAGATAGGTGATCTGGATGTGCCATGCAGGCTGCGGGAAAGCTGAGTTGGTGGGCCGGAACAGGTGGATATCTGTGGGAGGCTCATCTTCGCATGGTGGCACTGGCAGCAGAAGGAGGCAGAGGCGTGGGGAGGCAGGCAATCTCGACGCTTTCTGCAGGCCACAGGCAAGCTGAGAGATGCAAAGACAAACGTCCCGTGGCCACCTGCCCACTTGGTCCCACAATCTCTCAGCTTGTCTGTGGCCCACACAGCTCGTCAGGATTGCATACCTTCATCCCCACACCTCTGCCTGTCTGCTGCCAGTGCTGCTACATGGAAGACGAGCCTCCCGCGGCCAGCCACCTGCCTCCTCCGGCCTACCAACTCTCCACTTTCCCTCAGCCCATGAGGCACATCCGGACTGCATGCTCCCCGCCCTGCACTTCCTCTGCCATTTGCTGCTTGGAGAGGTAATCAACTCACTTGTGCTGTGCGGGCTGTGCAGCCCCCAAGTATGCTGACCAAGTGTCCAGCAGGTTGCAACTGCTGCTGGACATAGGCCCCCATGCACTTGCTGCCTTTTGTCCACGTGCCTGGGGGATGGGATGCCCATCCGAGCTGATCACCCTGAAATTGTGTTTCCACAAAAATAAGCCCTAATGCTTATTCTGGAGCTCCAAAAATATGACAGTGTCTTATTTTCAAGGAAACATGGTATGCTATCAATACATACTTCGGAGGTTCATTCACGCCAGTTTATGTCTTGTTATTTGTATTTCTGCAATGACATTCAGGGAATGTTTCGCTTCTCATCCAAGAAGCCTCTTCAGTTCTCAGCTTCTGGGATGAGCACTGAGATGTCTTCAAGCAAAATCAAAGTCCAGTTGTCTTTTCAAAAAGCACCTTTGGGACAATCATGACCTGGATTGGTAGACCCCAACCCCCCTGGGCCATGGCCCACTATCGGGAATTGGGACTTACAGCATGGGGCCGTGGAAGTGGCGGTCGAGTGTGCTTGTGCACTTGCACATTCCCACTTAGGCAAAGCAGTGGGCAAATGCAAAGGGAGTTGCATGTCAGCTTCCCCACCCCATCAATCTCACAGAACCATTTCCCTGAGCCCAAAGTGGGAAAGGTAGGGGATCCTCTGCCCTGGACATCCGTAAACTTAAGGAAGGAATCCCCCAGTTTCTACAGAGCACAATCTGCCCTACATCTTTTCTGTTTTATATCTATTTCTGTTCTCTTGAAGTCTTGAAGAAAGGGTGGGAGACGACATGGATGGTGCTGCAAATGTGACAAAAGGAAATTGCTGAAGGCAGCCACACAGCAACTACATTTATTAAATAAGTATGTAAACAATAAATACTTTGGGGATTCCTTTACACCAATTTGTCATCTGTTGTCTGTATTCCTGCAATGACACTCAAGACTTCCAAAGCTTTTTTTTTCAAAAGACAATTGGACTTTGTTTTTAGCTTTTCATCCAAGAAGTTTCTTCAGTTTTCAACTTCTTGGCTAAGAAGTGAAACATCTTCAAGCAAAAATAAAGTCCAGTTTGTCTTTTGAAAAAGCACTTTTGAGAAAACCATGACTTGGATTACTTATAATCTCTATAGACTCAATGAAGGAATCCTTTTTCTACACAGTACACAATCTGCACCTATATCTTTTCTCTTTTATATCTACTTGAGTTCTGTTGAAGTCTTGACTTTTTCTCCTTGTCTTTCCTGGCTGGGTGGATTCTTAGAATTGATCTTGTTTCAAGGGGCTGCGCTACCTAACAACCCCACAGTAATTGATCTCTCAATTACTGATTATGTTCCCTTAGTAGGCTTAAATATGAGGCTCGGTATAGCCGATGATGACAGGATGAGATAATGAAAAACAAATACATGAAAGGAGGCTGTAGAATTACAGGTCATAAGAGTTGATGTAGGGTCTCCCGCTTGGGCGGGGGTGTGTGGACTAGATGACCTATAAGGTCCCTTCCAATTTTGATTATCTGTTATCCGAGTTTATTAGTAAGATTCTAAGACTGTAAGAGTATAAAGAGGTTTTTCTCCAAACTATGTTGGGAAACTGAAGTAGTATGGAATAATCAACTACTCAAAAAAGAGGTTATCTTTCTGGAGCTGATCTCACTGCTTTTTCTTCTGGTCAGGAGATAACAAAGGGAAATGAGAGGACTTATTTAGCTAAGACTTAAGAGGAAAGAAAAGAATATGAGCACTATTTTGTGGGAATTAAACATAATTCTGCAGGTTGCAATGCTTTCTAAATTTGATAAATTTGTTTTATATAGTGGTTTTTAGGTAAATTAAAAAGGAAGTCAAGGAAGCCATTACTCCTCTGGTTGGAAAAGATAGTGAGATGGCAATGGGCAAAAGGCAGGAAAGAGGGGGGGGGAGGGAAATGCAGGTGAAAATAGGCAATGGAAAATCTAGCTGCTCTGAATGAATTCAAATATTTGGGACTAGCATTGTTCAGAATCTCCTTCCATAGATTTATACGATTTCTTCTGTAGGCATTATTTTAGTTTTGTGCTCCAATAAAAGATTTTCCCACACTTCAAGGATTTATACGATCTCTGCCCTGTGAATATTTTTATGAAATTTAAGGTGTCCTTTCTGAGCAAAGCTCTTTCCACATTCTGCACATGGAAATGGTTTCTCCCCTGTATGGATTCTTTCATGACTAATAAGACCACTTTTCTGAGTAAACCCTTTTCCACACTCTATGCATTTATATGGTCTCTCCCCAGTATGGGTCCTCTTATGACGAATAAGTTCTGAGTTCTGACGAAAGCTTTTTCCACACTCCATGCATTTATGCGGTCTTTCCGCTGTGTGCATTCTTAGGTGGAAAGTAAGGCGCCATTTGTCAATAAAGCTCTTTCCACACTCCAGGCATTTATATGGTCTGTCCTCTGTGTCAATCCTTTGATGGAAAGTAATATCACTACTCTCAGTGAACCTCTTTCCAAATTCCATGCAACTGTATGTTTTTTCACTTGTGTGGATCCTCTGATGGTGAGTCAAATTACGCCTTGTACGGAAGTCGCT